GGATCTGACACCTGACCTTCATCTGACCTCTAAACCTAACCAGTCGGATTTAGATGCCTAATCCTAAATTCAGTTCCATATCCATTTTTCTATGGACCATCTTTCCCTCAGTTTGACCACTAATCCTAACCACTCCGGCCTTTTGCCTAATCCTAAAATACTTCTCCATAAAAGGTTATTTTACTCTCAATTCCAACAATTAAAATTAACTTAAAGTACACTCTTATCTTTAGTCCCAAACTCTAAACTTAACCAGTCGGGCTTAGGTGCCTAATCCTAAAATCAATATCCATTAATTCAGCGACCATCTTTCCCTCAGTTTGACCACTAATCTCAACCACTTTGGCTTCCTTGCCTAAACCTAAACCACATTCTCCCCCCTCATTCTGCTCTTTTTCCGACCCCTTTCTGGTACGAGCCCCGTCAGGGGATAACGAAAGGAAACGGGTCTAAAAACAGATACGGCCATTGCGGCAAGAGGAGGCATCCGCCGTCAACACAGCTACCCTCCTCCGTGTCTCTGTCCTTCAAGCTTAAATTATCCTGTCTACTTTTACACACTTTATTCTTTATGGTCCAGTCATAATGCTATGCTAGGGTAAGGCCGACACGTCCTCTAGTGCGCGTGCCTTTCCTTGGATCTCCGTATAACCATGAAGTCGTCGGGCGACATGGGGAGATCTGGTGGCTTTTACCTAACCTAACCCAGCCGGAGCCTGGAGAAACGGGGGACTTACACTGACCCGTGGTATTTTGACTGGGTCGCTCGTTTTCTTTACCAACACTTATCAATTAATTGGTTTTGATTAAGATTGCAGGAGTGATTTACTATCATGAAGCTCTTATCAAAATATTCCTGAACAACTGAGATTATTTACTTATGAGTGTACCATTTTAACTTTGTCCTTATTTCTTACATTTAAAAACAGTCCACCTCCTTTATTCTCTACTTTTAACCTTTAAACCCTTACCCCTTCCTCGGCCGTCCCGGGTCCGGTCGCACGAGGTAGCGGGTTACGTACGAGAAGACTAGACCGGCTGGGGGGAGTGAGACGTAGTCACTGACCACATCCTTGCCTCTGAATTTCTCTAACCAGTACCCCATTAGGGATACACCTCTTTCTCTCCCTCTCTCTCTATCCTCACCCTATTTCTAAAGAGAGCGATTAATTAGTCGGTCACTGGACCCTTAATATAACCTTTGGATTAAATCCTTTTAGAACCTCCTTACTTATACTTCTAAAATAACTTGATCATTTAATAGATTTACACTTAAAACCTTAGTCGGACCAATTCTACTGAGTGAAGGCGTTTAAATATCCGCTTATATTCACTCTTAAAATATTAGAGTTTTTGAGAACACAATAGAAATAATACCTGTATTTACTTTAATATATACCACTCTAACTTTACTCTTAAATAGATAAATACATTTCGGGTGTAATGAGTTAAAAAATAAAATATTTTCTTAAAATAGTCTATAAACAGATTTATAATGTTCTTTTTATTATAATACACTGCCTTTACGGGCATTTAGTATATTATAATTTGCTTGCAATTCATGGAGTTACCACTATGAATGCTATTGGTCATGTTACCTTCAATTCCACCGTTTTTGACGTCACTTCCGGTTTGCGGCACAACCAATTCCTGGCGAGTGCTTCCCAGTGACAATAGCTGAAAGCACATGTGTGTGAAGACTCTACTAAAATCCTTTGACATCCACATTGAAATACTGGTCTTTCAACGTTGAGAGTGAGTATTTTTGATCATTGACATATCAGAGACCAGATATCATGATCCATTTGAAGAATAATCAGTTTTTAATATTTACATAAATAGATAATTTCACAAAATGGCGGCCGTTTTTTTCCAGTTGCATTTACTTCAGATTAATATTAATAAATTGATCATTTCAAGTCGGGAGGGTTTAGG